TCCAAAGGCAAATTGTGTCGCACACCCAATAAATTGCCTCGGATATAAAGGACTGTAGAAAAAACATACAATTAGGAAGTCTATTTTCAGGGCTTCTTTTCGGAAGGGGCCAGTGACACGTAAAAAGAAGCTAGCAGCACAATATCCCAATAATTACTATACACCAGCTCACACCTATAAAAAGTGGAACAAAGTATAACTATGGCCTCCTATGTATTATAAGATTTGTGCTGCAGCATTTTATTATAAGTGAATCGGCACTTAGGCGAAGTTCACATCTGTGCCGCTGCGGATCCGCATGAAAATCCGTGCAGCCGCACCACCCGCATAGAGAAATGCGGACCCGCAGGCAGGTGCCAATAGTTCTTGGAAAACGCAACCGTACTGGGAACCGAGGTTCCCGTGCGGGCTGCGTTTTTGGAAGAAGTGCAGGGAATTCAAATGAATGGGCTCTCGTGCCCGTGCAAAACGCGGTCCACGCGGTCGCATATATGTGAACTGGGGCTTACAGTTTTCTGTTAGTTTCCCTGAACAGTTCCACCTGTTGATCCTGCCCCATGAAGTCCATCAAATGCAGATTCCTGTGATGGTGTGGCAATGATGCTTCACTGCTTCTGAATTCAGAGCAGAGTTGCCACTCACTTTGGCTGTACTTGCCTACACTACAGTGGAATGAAAGAATGCAGCATGGGAAGTGGGTGTCAACTGCTGATTCACACCCTTCTAGCTTGTCTGTTTCTCCTATATATAATAAAAGAACAGTGGTTATTAAATACCAGCAACAGAACGCTACATCTCAAAAATGATATCAAATTCATTTGGTTACAGTGCTGCATATCCTAATAATTGTTAGCCAAACAGCACTGAAAACAGAAAAAGGGACTGGTAATAAAGGAGCTTTACAGTATTACAGGCTGGCACTTCAAGTGGTAATATACATCACACTATCAAAAGAAATCCGGATTTATAGACTATCAAGGACTGAAAATTCACCATTACCCAAAATTACCAATCAAACTATATATCAGTCAATATAAACCTTTCCAGCTTTTCTCTTTTTGAAAACCTCTTTACTGATACAACAATTTAAACCAACTACCATGGTATATTAACCACTTGCCTACTGGGCACTTATACCTCTTCTTTACCAGGCCAATTTTCAGCTTTCAGCGCTGTCGCACTTTGATTGACAATTGCGCGGTCATGCAAGATTGTACCCATATGAAATTTTTATCATTTCTCACAAATAGAGCTTTCTTTTGGTGGTATTTAATCACTGCTGGGCACTTTACTTTTTGAGCTATAAGCAAAAAAAGTGCAAAAAAAATTGAAAAAAAAAAAAAAAAGTTTCTTTGTTTCTATTATAAAATTTTTTTAGCGGGTAATTTTTCTCCTTCACTGATGTGCGTTGATGAGGCAGCACTGATGGGCACTGATAGGCGGCACTGATGGGCACTGATAGGCGGCACTGAAGGGCACTGATGGGCACTGATAGGCAGCACTAATGAGGTGTCACGGATAGGTGGCACTGATATGCGGGCACTGATAGGTGGCACTGATAGGTGACACTGATAATGGGTACTGATAGACAGCACTGATAGATGGCACTGACTGACATCACTGCTGGGCACTGACTGGTGGCACGGCTGGGAACTGACTGGCACAACCGCTGGGCTGCACTGATGGGCACAGGTGGGTGGCACTGGTGGGCACATGTGTGGCACTAGTGGGCACAAGTGGGTGGCACTGGTGGGCACAGGTGGGTGGCACTGGGGTGGCACAGGTGGGTGGCACTGCTGGGCACAGGTGGGTGCATTGATGGGCACAGGTGGGCGCACTGCTGGGCACAGGTGGGCAGAATTTGTGCGTGGCACCGCTGGGCACCGATCATCAGGGCACTGATGATCAGTGACCCTGATGATCGGTGCCGATCCCCGCTCTGACAACTGGGGGGCACGCTGGAGTGCGCGTTCTGGGAGGACGTCATATGACGTCCACCCAGAACTGGCTGGCCGCAGTGCAGCCATCATTCGGCTATCTGCGGTCGGCAAGTAGTTAAAAGAATATCTGCGATATGCCTGTCTGCTGCAAGAAGACCAACATACTATTATTAAGTATATATATATGCCTGCCAGAACTCTTTTTTAATATACTGTATGTATGTTAATTATATGTTGCTGGCAGCAGTCATGATCAGTGTCTATTTCAAAACTATACCCCATTAAAATCCTCAATGGAGAACAATAAGGTATAGTGATACAGGCAGTGGTGTATTTAGGTTTTGTGCTGCCCTAGGCAACACAAAGATCGTCTGCCTCCACAGACACGAACCAACACCATCCCCCTCCCGCGGAAAGAGCCTGACATTGACAACAACAACACCCCTGCCCCCCACCTGGGAGATCCATCCACTAACCCCCCCCCCCCCCCAGCAATAGAGAGAAAGACACTCATCTTCACGGTTCTGGACATTCTGGACATCCCTGGGAATGAGGGTCAGGTTCTACATATACCATAAATCAGCCCGCAGACTCTCTCGGATCCCACCTGGTTCCCATTGCGTGTGTGTCCCTTTATCCATCCCTTCTTCTGGGGGAGGTGCTGCCCCCCTGAAAAATGCCGCCCTAGGCAAATGCCTTCTTTGCCTTGTGGTAAATATGCCCCTGGATACAGGTCCTTGATAATATATAAACACAGCTACTCAACATATAGCACACTAATGGTTGATACAATGTTTAGACATATGTAACTGTACTTATAGCAACACTCCTGATGCAGTGGGATAAATCAATAGTATTACAAAAAAAAACTAAAAATTCCAAACATCCTTAAACCAACATAGATAGGATGACTATATTGCAGATAAATCCTTAATGACCCTGTCAGGGGAGGACTGACAACTCATGGGGCCCCCGGGCAATAGGGGATCATGGGGCCCCTGTGTCCTTGCCCAAACTCAAAAATGCCTATGAAAAAGGTACCAGGGGCATTTCATGGGGCCCCCTACTGACCCCGGGCCCTCGGGCAGTGCCCGAGTTTCCAAATGGTCAGTCCGCCCCTGGACCCTATTAGCGGTCAAATAATAGTACTTAATATTGAGGTGACATGAAAATAGCATCATTGTAACAGACATTTTTCTAGTGCTACAATTCTTAAATAGTTTTAGGGTCCTTTTACATGGGTGGACCCGTTTAGCGGATCTGCTTGCTCAGCGGGGGATCTCTCCGCTGCAGAGCGGACACAGAGCCGCTCGCTCTCCCACAATGGGTGGTCGAATGAAAAAGGACCACCTGTTTGTTTCCATTTGACCCACTCAAATGGACTGAAGGGGAATTGGATCTGCATCCGTCCCTTTTGTGCGGGTCAGTTTGGATTGGATGTTGGTGGGTGTAAACAGACACGTTCCTTTACACCCGCCACTCTATAAAGGAGAATGGAGGTTCCGATCAGGTCTGCCTGAAAAGTGGGCAGGCGGACCGAATCGGATCGTCCATACAAAAGAGGCCTTAACAGTGACGTTTAGAGGACATTACACCATATCCTAGCCATCCTACTAGAGTGAACTAGAGTGTTGATTCCAATCTAGTGATGCAGAACTTTGTTCTACGTTACCTTGGCATAGTGATAATATTGTCAAGTGGACTGTGTCTGAGCCTACCTTTTGTGTGCTCACATTTACTCAAACTACTGTTCGTTCCCAGCCCAGACCAATACATTGAGTTCATTTACCACTAAACAGTCTTGTGTCTATTTCCTGGTGCTAATTCATAGCCAAGTTAAAGGTATCTACTGTACAACTTTCAACCAGGTGTTTCAGAGGGACTGAGGTTGTTCTTAGAGTTGAGGCACAGAACAGAGAACTCAAATTACCAAGCGGTTCCTGCAGGAGTAGCGTTACATATGTCTAGACATTACACTCATCGGCCACGTTATTAGGTACACCTGTTCAATTGCTTGGTAACACAAATTGCTAATCAGCCAATCACATGGCAGCAACTCAATGCATTTAGACATCTATATGTGGTGAAGACAACTTGCTGAAGTTTAAACTGAGCCTCAGAATGGAGAAGAAAGGGGATTTAAGTGACTTTGAACATGGCATGGTTTTTGGTGCCAGACAGGCTGGTTTGAGCATTTTAAAAAACTGCTGATCTAATGGGAGTTTCAGGCACAACCATCTCTAGGGTTTACAGAGGTCTGAAAAAGAGAAAATATCCAGTGAGCGGCAGTTGTGTGGACGAAAATACCTTGTTCATGTCAGAGGAGAATGGGCAGACTGGTTCGAGATGATAGAATGGCAACGGTAACTGATGTCAACATGGACCTAAATCTCTGAGGAATGTTTTGAATACCTTGTTGAATCTATGCCACATAGAATTAAGACTGAAATAAGTTCTAAAGGCAAAAGGGGGTCCCAACCCAGTACTAGCCGTGTACCTAATAAAGTGGCTGGTGAGTGTATAACTAACATACATATACAGAGAAGAATTACCACTGAAGTGAGTCCTGGGGCATGTACATTGTATATACTTATTTAATGTTTAACCGCCTCCCACCCACCATATAGTAAAATGACGGACGCAAGGCGGTTTTCTCATTCTGGGAGGACGTCATATGACGTCCTCCCATTCTCACCACGCATGCGCGGCTCACTCCAAGAGAGAGCAGCGTGGCGATTGGCGGTGCGCTGTGTCCCTCGGACACAGCAGATAACCGATCAACGGAAAGAGCCAAAGATTTCGGCTCGGTCATGTGATCAGCTGTATCCAATCACAGCTGATCACAAGTAAACAGGGAAATGCTGGTTATCGGATTTTATCTCCCCACGAGCTGTCAAGCTGACAGCTCGAGAGGAGAGGAGAGCCGGTAATCAGCATTCCTCGGAGGGGACATGTACACAGATCATCAGAACACTGATGATCAGTGTGCCCTGATGATCTGTGTAGCCCCAGCAGCACCACCTGTCAATGTCCATCAGTGCCAGCTCTCAGTACTCATCCATGCCACATTCCAGTGCCCATCAGTGCCACATCAATGCCACATATCAGTGCCCATCTGAGCTGCCTTTCAGTGTCACCCATCAGTGCCAGTCAGTGCCACCTATCAATGCCAGTCAGTGCCACTTATCAGTGCCAGTGAGTGCTGCCTATCAGTGCCAGTGAGTGCCACCTATCAGTGTACTCAGTGCAGCCTATCAGTGCCTGTCAGTGCTGCCTATCAGTGCCACCTAACAGTGCCAGTCAGTGCCACCTATCAGTGCCAGTCAGTGCTGCCTATTAGTGCCACATATGAGTGCTGCCTTTCAGTGCCCATCAGTGATGCATGTCAATGCCCATTAGTGCCACCTACCAGTGCCTCCTCATCAGTGCCCATCAGTGCCACCTATCAGTGTCCATTAGTGCAGCCTATCAGTGCCCATCAGTGCAGCCTCATTAGCGCACATCAGTGAAGGAGAAAAATCACTTATTTACAAAATTTTATAACAAAAACTAAGAAAAAACTTTTTTTTTTCAAAATTTTCAGTAATTTTTGGTTTTAAGAAAAAATAAAAAAACCAGAGGTGATTAAATACCACCAAAATAAAGCTCTATCTGTCTCAAAAAAATGATAAAAATGTGTCATATGGGTACAGTATCGCATGACCGTGCAATTGTCATTCAAAGTTCAACAGCGCTGAAAGCTGGAAATTGGCCTGGGCAGGAAGGGGGTTAAGTGCCCTGTAGGCTAGTGGTTACCGCCGACAGTATATGCACTTAAGGTCCGCCCTATAGCAGTTTTACTGCTACAGGGCGCCCCCCCCCCCCCCATGCAAAATTATATACTGTATATGTGTGTGTGATTTTGCACTTTCACTATAGGGGGTGAACGCGCCACCTGCGGATCGCTGATTGCTTCTGCTGTGAACGCTCAAAGCAGAAGCTGATCTGCAAGTGCCGGTGAACAGATATCCGCCGGCACCCACCGAACGTCAGCAGGACACAGAACAGAGCTCTGCTTAAGTAAGCAAGGCATAGTTCTGTTCTGACGGGGGGGGGGGGGGGGGGGGGAGTGAAGGATCATGTGACCCTGCAAAGCTGGAAACACAATCCTTCACTTCCCCTAGTAAAAGCACCATCTAATGTACACCAAGCACATGACTAGGCATACCGTTAACCCTTTGATCACCCTAGATGTTTAGCCCCTTCCCAGCCAGGGTCAGTGTATATTTTTAGCACTGATCACTGTATTAGTGTCACTGGTTCCCAAAAAATGTCAGTTAGTGTAAAAATGTCCGCCGCAATATCGAAGTCCCACTATAAGTCGCTGATCACTGTCATTACTAGTATTAAAAAAAAAAATTAATTTAAAAACTCCAGTATATGTCCCATAGTTTGTAGACACTCTAACTCTTGCACAAACTAATCAATATATGCTTATTGGGATATTTTTTAACAAAAATGTAGTAGAATACATTTTGGGCTAAATTTATCAAAACATTTGATTTATTGGATATGTTTTAAAGCAGAAAATAAAAAATGTTTTTTGTTTTTAAATTGTCAATCTTTTTTTGTTTATAACACAAAAATTAAAAAAAAAAAAACGCAGAGGTGATCAAATACCACCAAAAGAAAGCTCTATTTGTGTGGAAAAAAATAACATAAATTTAATTTATGTACAACGTTGCAGGACCGCGCAGTCGTCCCCTGCACGATTTGTGCCATCATTCAGTATAGCACAAATTGATCAGCAAGTCCCAGCCATAAATCATTGCCGATAGGCTTAGCAAGTCACAGCACAGAGCCCTGTGTTTACTAACAACACAGGGCTCTGTACAGGGAGCAGTGACTTGGCTGTCTTTTCTCCCTGTAAAGCAGGGAGAAAAAACAGCCACCTCTATTAATAAAAGCAGCACATATCACACATTGTTAGGCACAGAGTTAACCCTTTGATTGCCCCTAGATGTTAATCCCTTCCCAGCCAGTGTCATTAGTACAGTAACAGTGATAAAATATGCTAAATAAAAATAGGCGCTTGCTAAATTCCTGATAATACATCAAAAATACATGAATACAAATTTGTGCAGAGTAGAAAAACAGAGTGTGTAACCCAACACCACACAATGATGTAAGTCCTTCAATGGATGTGGGATCAAACCAATCTCCCCCCAACTCCTCATCGCTTGTGTCCAAACAAAAGTGTGAATGGAATTAATTCTTTTGAGGAGGTTGAGTGGCCATTTTCTGTATATTAACTAATGATTAGGAAATATATCAACATGCAGTAAGTACAGTAAGTACATTAATGAGCAAGTCATAGCAACCAAAGGCACTAATGGACAAATACAGAAATACGAAAGCATCTTTTTAAAGTATAATACAATCCATTAAATACAAATACATTATATATTAAACAATTAAAATACATTCTCATATTCCTTGTACGCAATGCACCATCTAACCTTCATCTTTACATTGAATGTCCCTGAACTATCCATTCAGGTCCTTTGTTAGATCTCAATCCTGCAGGCTATGGATTTTTGATGAGGTCCCCAAGGATAAGATTGTTTACAGCTACTCTCAGACTTTGCGATCAAGGCTACAGAGTGTACAATAGGTTAATAAATACATATTGTACATTTGACCTTCCTGAACACATATGTCGGATTCAAAAGAAAGCATTCCTGTGATGTATTGCATCTGATAAAATCAAAAAGATTTATTGTTTAGAAATCTTTGCATATGATTGTTTTATAGGTTGTATAATTAGTTACTGAAGATCACTGTAATCCTTCAATGTACAGCAACAACATTCTACAAACAATACCCCATAATGACAAGAAGTTTGTTTTGAAATCTTTGCAATTTATTAAAAAAAAAAAAAAAAAAAAAAAATGTGTACATAAGTATTCACAGCCTTTGCCATGACACTCAAAACTGAGCTCTGCTGCATCCTGTATCGACTGATCATCCTTGAGATGTTTCCACAAATTGATTGGAGGCCACCTTTGGGAAATTCAGTTGATTGGATGTGATTAGGAAAGGCATAAACCTGTCTATATAAGGCCCCACAGTTAACAGTGCATGTCAGAGCACAAACCAAGCCATGAAGTCCAAGGAATTGTCCGTAGACCCCCGAGAGAGGATTTTATCAAGGCACAGATCTGGGGAAGGATACAGAAAAATGTCTGCAGCATTGAAGGTCCCAATGAGCACAGTGGCCTCCACCATCTGTAAATGGAGGAAGTTTGGAACCACCAGGAATCTTCCTAGAGCGGGCCGCCCAGCCAAAATGAGCAATCCAGGGAGAAGGGCCTTAGCCAGGGAGGTAACCAAGCACCTGATGGTCACTCTGAAAAGAGTTCCAGTGTTTCTCTGTGGAGAGAGTATAACCTTCCAGAAGAGCAACCATCTCTGCAGCACTCCCACCAATATGGGAAAGTGGCCAGACGGAAGCCACTCCTCAGTAAAATGCAAATAGAAGCCCGCCTGGAGTTTGCCAAAAGGCATCTGAGGGACTCTCAGACCATGAGACACAAAACTCTCTGGTCTGATGAAACAAAGATTGAACTCTTTAGCCTGAATGCCAAGCGTCATGTCTGGAGGAGACCAAGCACCGCTCACCACCTGGCCAATACCATCCCTTCAGTGAAGCATGGAGGTGGTAGCATCATACTGTGGGGATGTTTTTCAGCGGCAGGAACTGGGAGATTAGTCAGGATCTAAGGAAAGATGAATGCAGCAATGTACAGACACATCCTTGATGAGAACCTGTTCCAGAGCATTCTGGACCTTAGACTGGGGCGACAGTTCATCTTTCAACAGGACAATGACTCTAAGCACACAGCCCACATAACAAAAGAGTGGCTACAGCCAACTCTATGAATGTCCTAGAGTGGCCCAACCAGGGCCCAGACTTGAACATCTCTGGAGAGATCTGAAAATAGCTGTGCACCAACGCTCCCCATCCAACCTGATGGAGCTTGAGAGGCACTGCAAAGAAGAATGGGAGAAATTGCCCAAAAATAGGTGTGCCAAGCTTGTAGCATCATACTCAACACGACTTGAGGCTGTAATTGGTGCTAAAGGTGCTTCAACAAAGTATTGAGCAAAGGCTGTGAATACTTGGGTACGTGGTTTTTTTTTTTTCATTTTTCATAAATTGCAAAGATTTCAAAACGATCTTCTTTCATGTTGTCATTATGGGGTATTGTTTGTAGATTGTTGAGGAAAAAAAAATAATTTTATCCATTTTGGAAAAAGACTAACATAACAAAATGTGGCAAAAGTTAAGCGCTGTGAATACTTTCTGGATTCACTGTACACTGTCTGGGGAATCCAATAAACCTGTAAACACTTTTTTTTATAGTTCTTTTAAAACTACCTCATTCAAGCAAGCCTATTGCAGTAAATAATTACCATGAGTTCACAGATTTGGAAACTGGCAATAATTAAGAGAAGCTAGTGCTCAGCACGGGGCATTTTGTGTTTTGAAAGCTGTCATGAGGCTCATGGTTGCTAAGATGCTGGCAGCCACCAGCTTCCTACCAAACAATTACTCATATCAGGGGCAGACTGACCATTTGGAAACTTGGGCACTGCCTGAGGGCCAGTAGGGGGCCCCATGAGATGCCCCTGGTACCTTTTTCATAGGCTTTTTTGAGTTTGGGCAAGGACACAGGGGCCCCATGATCCCCTATTGCCTGGGGGCCCCATGAGTTGTCAGTCTGCCCTGCCCCGGACCTATTCAGCTGCCGTATGGGAAATACCGCAACGCATCATTGTGAAAGCAGCCTTACACAGGGCTCAGGACAGTAAAGGCTCGTTTACATTTGCAGTTTGCAGTTTGAGTGGGAATGGTTAAAACCCCATAGTTGAGACATGTTTTTACCACACTCCTCAACCAGTGGTGTAGTGTCAGGGGTCACAATGGCGACCCCGCCCCATGCTTCAGGGGCCCGTGCGACCTTCCTGTCAAATTCTGTTTTACACTTGGACAGAAGGGGCGGCAGCATACAGTATACAGGAACTGATCCTCTCCCATTTTCCTCCTGCAACAGCTAAAAGCAGCAGGAGGAAAATGTTCATTATGTTATTCAAAATAAAAAAAATTCAAAGTTCTGAACCATTTAATTTCATTGTGGCCCGCGTCCGGTTACCAAATCACTTAAGTGGCTCTCGTTCGTTCTTCAAAAGGTTCAGCACTTCTGATTTAGTGGCTTGCCTTGTTTACCAAAGGATTTGTAATTCCGTCCAGCCACTTTTGTGATTTACAGGTGCATCTCAATAAATTAGAATATCATCAAAAAGTTAATTTAAGTAATTAAATTCAAAAAGTGAAACTCCTATATTATATAGATTCATTACACACAGAGTAATATATTTCAAGAATTTTTTTCTTTTAATTTTGATGATTTTGATGATTTACTAGCTTATAGCTAGTGAAAACCCAAAATTCAGTATCTCAGAAAAT